CCACTTCACTGATCTGAGCCAAAGTCACTAGCCGACAGCAACTGAGAGACTCAGAGACACACACACACTGGGCAAGAGTATCACTGGCTGACTCAGGCCCACTCTAGCCCACAGAGCTTGGACTCAAGTGCAGAAGTCAATTGTTTTTTATTTTACACCCACTTCACCACTTAATTATCCCAGCTCTCCCTGCCTGGTCCACACTTGCACTTATAACAGAATAACTAACACTGACTGGAGAAGCGCCAAGCCCTTCACAGACAACAGCTCCTAGCAGCCCCCACTGTCAAACCCTGGAGACACTCGGAATCAGCTACTGCCCAAACTCGAACCGGCAACATCTGGGCATCAAGAGTCGACTGCAGACTGAGCAAGAAAATCCATTACTGCAGCCACTTCCGATTCTGAAAACGCCTTACTGAAATGGACTGTGCAGCATTCAAGAAACTGGGCTTAAAATTCACAAGCCCACATGCCAATTTACAAAGAAATGTAACTGAAAAGGTTTGGTCCCTACTCCACTCTAACACACTTGAGCTACAAAGGTTTGTCCGTTCGTGGAGGGTTTGAGATGTATCACTGACAAGAAACACACTAATGTCCTGTAAGACACTTTTACTCACAGCTAACACAACTGTTTCTTTCTCTTGGAAGACATTTACACAATGCTAAATATGTTAACATAAAATAACAAGCATTTTGCACTGAAATAAATATGCCAGCTTTTCCCCCCCACAAAGTACTGCCACTTTACAGAGGTTTGCAATGGTTAAAAGCAAACAATAATGGTCGTTTTATGTCTTTTACAATATTGCAGGTAACTTTCTTGGACTGCTTTTTGTTGATCCGAGTCCATATTTGTTTGATAAGTAACTTTGCTTAAAATCTGCAATGATCTTTCTTCCTTACAAAACAGGGATATCTCCTATCATACTTAAGCATGTGTTCTAGAAAGAAATAGCCTCACAACAGAACACAACAGTACACATTAAAACGATGACTGGTGTACATTTAAAAATGAATAAGCATTACTTCGATATACCAGGTGGGTGTATCATTTGTTTAGTGAGAGAAGAGTATTATGTTCCAGCATTTTTTCCGACAAAATAATGAAAGACTCATGTAGGCCTCATTCCACACAAGGCTAGGCTCCGAACACATGGGCATTCAAATCGACACCAGCAGGGGAAAGCCAAAATGCTTCATTGGACATAACACCAGCGCATGTCTGCTGGTACATCTACGTCTTTCGCACTTTTAAAACCGCCATGTTAGTTGTTTCTAGCATACGCAGAATCGCGCAACACGAAAAAACACATAGAGCTGGGCAGAACTTCTCGTGAGAGGTGTTCAGCTGTCTCTGCTTCACTTTTTACCACTTGTCCAAGAAGCGACCATGAAGCGTGCCAGGGACCTAGCCCTCTTGAATGGTTTTTCTCCGGTGCAGGCTTGCACGACGGCCCTTACGCCATTTTGGTGGCAGCAGAACTAGGGGGGACCACCCCCTCGACACTTCTATGCACCATTTTTTAAGTGTACCACATTCGATTACGACAATCGCCGGACCGAGCGGACGCCTCTCGGCAGGATGGGGATACAGACGTGAAAGTTGTGGGTCCACTGGTGCTGTGCACCTACCAGCAGGCAAGGCTTAACCACTGGTCTAGAACCAGTCTTGCCAGCCCTGGTCCAAAGGTGCACTTAGCTGGATCTGCTGGATTCTCTGAAATAATAACTGGCTTGTGTTGCCATTTAACTGGTTCCATGTTCTGCTGTAGGTGGGGATAGGTCTATCAAATAACTCCCAGCTGAGCTGAAACTGAACTCCACCGACACACTGGTCCTTCAAGAGCTGGGCTGGGAACCACTCCTCTAGAATACACACCCACACCCATAACCTGAGACATTTCCCAGATGATATCCCTGCCTTAGACATTTGGGGACTTTGTTTTCCCACACAATCTCACACTGCAGACCTGCACACTAAAGCCCAGTGCTTTCATCTGCTGCCAGATATCCCTATTCCTTTCCACAGTGAGCGTCAAAATTTAAACATTAGAAAGGAAAGCACAACGTTGTGAGAACACCCTGTAGCGGATCGCATACAACCCTTTGAAAACAGTATTTGGCATATCAATGCTTAGACGTATGAAGAACGTTCTCAGCACAATTTACTGCAAAAAATGCAATAATGGAAGACTACTTTAATCTTGTATTCAAAACGCATATCTTTGCAAGTCCATAACCAGTATTAGACACTGGTTCAACTAACTATCCCCTTCTTTACAAGACTCTTATGACTGCGTGCATCCTGTTATTGTAGCCCACAATGTCACCTTGAGCTCTCCGATAGTTCCTTTACATGTCCTTATTCATCATCTAAGCAATGTGTCAACACATTCAACTTACCCCCACTGCTTACACCAGCCCAACCTCTACCTGCGCAAGACACAAACACTCATGGGCTGTTGGATCCCACTCTCCTGACCGCCTCGTACTGACCATTTCGATTCTGAAGTAGCTACCAAAATGGCCGAATTTCCAAATGAAGCAAACCAAGTGAGGGGCATAAAGAAACAGTGGCAAAGGAGAAACAAAAAGAAAATTAGGGACCGGGTAAACGCTTAGCAAAGCAAATTTCATGTTAATAAATGCAAAGTGATCCAGACAGGGACACTATACATAATGCATGAGTGACTCTTACCTGCACAAAGTTATGCGTAAAAGGGATCTGGGTGTTTGTTGACATTTCTATGCATTTATCCAGGCAACGTGGAGAAGCAATTAGACAAGAAAACAAAATGTTTGGGTACAGAGCAAAAAGTGTGGAATTGAAATCAAGGGAAGTCATTCTCATGCTTTACATTGGAATGGTATTTTGTGATCAATTTTGGCCACCCTACCATTAACAGGATATTAAAGCTTTAAATCAAAGGGAGTAAATAAGAAAAAGAGAAACAGGGATGATTCCTGATCTAGTATAAGGACAGGTTAATGGAGCTAAATTTCTTCAGTACAGAACAAAGCAGATTTGAGTCAACCTGGTGGACTACTGCAAACACAGTTATGAAACAAGGACACGGTGTCACAACTGGAAACTAAAAAGGAATTAATCTAGGAAGGACAACAAGAAATGATTCAGTAGTTGTAGTTGTAGGCAGTTGTGAGAACAGGTTTCCAGGCCAGGTGGTTCCTGAGACCAAGAGACAAATCAATAACATGCTACCAGACTACCAAGATGGGACCAAATGACCTTCTCTTGTCCGCAGCCATTTGGGTTGTCTTGAATCCACACCTTTCTTTTTCAGTCCACAGGAGTGCAGCTCACTGCTGGGGGGAGGGGGGTTGGGGGTGACACCACTTTATTCATGATCTTGACCGGCAGAGCATCTCACTCCAAGTCTTCTTCTGCCCCACACTGACTAATCAACAGCCTGACAACATCATTGCACTGTCCCATAAAAAAACTAAATGAAGCAAGAGCCAATGGTTTAACCAACAGGGACCAGACTTGGGTTTCATTAAAAGGAGTAACAGTAGACATTAATCTTGGATAAAAGTACTGTTAACGCCAGTCTACCTTGACAAGTCTTGCGAAACACAGAGGGAATAAGACAGGCTCCCTGCTTCATGAACTTTACATGAATCAGCATAATTACACCAACTACACGGGTATTTCACGCTTATAGCATACATATACTTAAACATCAAAGAACCAGAACATTTTTACTTCCTGTTGACATGAGGCTTGTTTCCTAATATTTCAGTTGAGGAAAACGTTACTTTTAATTCAATGAAGGTATTGTCAGTGTACACAGAGGTAGTGGTAGATTTGTGCTTTACGCCCGACTTGCAGACACACCTTAGAGCAAGAGTACAGCATACAATTTTGCACCACATGCTTGGTCTGGCTGTTTTAAAACTTCGGGAACTTTAAATTTACAGTTTCAAAGGATTAATGTTTGTGGCTGCAAACTAATTAATGTAGATGAAGAAAGTTGAGCCACTACATTGACAACCTAATTTTCTTAGATTTACATACGGCGCTGTTGATCTGAAAAGTTAAAAAAAACTGCGACTGGATGCATTTCATGATAACTCGAACGCGTTTTAAAGCTGCAGTTGTCAGCACTCAACGTGCTCCGGTGCAATTTGATCACATAGGGGGAAGGGAGACAAAACAAATGTGCCACCATCAGCAAACCATACGGTAGCAACATACCGTACAGTATAATGATTAGGGCACTGAACGCCGGGTTCAAATGCCGGAGTGGACATTTATCTTTGAGCAAGGTATCCGTCGTGACAGGTAAAATAAAAATACATTATAAACTTAAACTGTAACTGTAGTGCTTAACACGCAAAGGGGTACAACCTAAAGAGCAAGGGCAATGTTTTATATGTACGTTGCTGGAAACGCCATTAACTAGACTTTTTAACTTATACCCTTTGGATTTGACCCCAAGTCACTTAATATATTCCGTCAAATGTCTGAAAAACGCGTTAACTGGCCCCTTCTACTGATCCTTAAGTATAAATCCTAATCTGGGTTTATTTTGATCTCCGACGAGGCATACCTTTGGCTGTAGCTAAATTTAGAACTTAATCCTGATGAAGTGAAATTCGTAGGTTACGCACGGTTTTGGTTTCTGAAGGGCACCAAGACATAACTAGCAAGGAGAACCGACCCCAAAGCTCGTTTACGAGTTACTACTTTTAATATCTTCGAGCCACCCAACACGCCGCACCACCCACAGACCACACCTCTCGACTCCGATTTGCCTGTTGAAATGTCCATGTATGTAAATAGCTGCAATGAATGACACCTACAGATATGGTAACAAATTTACCTTTGAAATCACCGTGGCGGTGTTTGGGGGTTCAGCAGAAATGTTTCTTAACGGGTGGGAACCAAGCAATTACGGTTCCTCGCTTAGTTCAAATCAAGTTGCACAAGGAAAAGAAGGCAAGGGATCACATTAATTAATCAAAATGCAAACCTGATTCCTGGGGGTCGATATTTATAGTGCTGTTTGTGGGAGACATGTTCTTCTTAGTCCAGGGGTTAACTTTCGGAGGCGGTGCTTCGAGTATGTTTTTCTTTGGTTTCTCCCCCTTATCGGGATTGATGTCGCTGGAGACGTTTTGGTCATTTCCTTTGTTAGTGTGTACTTCGTCTTTAGTAACGATCTCGATCTGGGCTTCTTTCACCACCTGTCCCTTGTTTTCCACATGGTGCTTCTGGTCCGGCTCCCTCAGCTGCTGGCTTGGGCTGATTTCGTCCCCCGTCGGTGGCTGATCGATTTGCGATTCGTTATGGTTTTTATCTCCCCCAGTGGAGTCAGCAGTTACCCCACTGACACGATCTGAGGATTGCAAAACAGAAGTTTCAACTTCTGTGGACATCCCGCAAATCTCGTTTTAAAACGGATTCAAAGCGGTACTGTTGTAAACCCTTGACACGATATTCTAGCTATCACATAGATGTGCTTAGAAGAAAAAAAATCCCGAGTTACCATAACCCGCAAAAACAACGGCAATAAAGCTGCATCAGGCTTTCTGAAACGGAAAAAAAAACTTCAGGTTGATAGTTCATAAATAAATTTTCCTTTTCAAAAAAGAAAAAAAAAAGTTCTTCTAGTCCGAAAACGTCTTCTGGTTAAAAGAAAACAAACACGCTGATAAGGCAACGAAAAGCAATGAGTAGCTGCTGCCCCTAGTGAACCAGCCGAGTAAGAAATAGAAAAGCATGTGTTTGCTTGTGCTGGGGAAACTGACGTGGCCTATCCCCCTCTCGGCTTGCACTACAGTACACAGCTTAATGGATTATTTACTTAGAAATGCTCAAGAGCTGTGACGCGCCACAGCACGACCAGTCTACCGTATTGTGACGCCATACAAAGTGAAAGACCGTGACAAGTGTCTTCAATTATTTACAACACTCCTAGTGTTCAGGCATGAATTTTTTTAAAAAAAAGGTAATTCCGAAGAACACAAAGATCTCAGCAGCGTAGCCCTTTCAAACACCTCTCTAGCATGAGGTGACCAGTCTCGGGTCCTGCTCTCTTCTCCCCTTCGTCTCCGATGTTTGTGCAGCGGTTCGGCGACCACCTCGTGTCTCTCTCGGAAACGCAAGTTTCCTTGCAAAAGGAAAGGCGAAAAACAAACAGAAAGGCACGATTTCAAACTGTATTTTGCCGTCCTCTCGGCCCCCCAAGACCTGCTGTTTATCAATCCAGTGAGCTCAGTCCAATGCGCCGCCACCGACAGCAAGTAGTACTAATAAGGCAGTAGCTAACAATACTCCTGTAGCACGAGTGAGCCAGCAGAAGCCTGCGCTTGTTGTAATTGGTCTCATCTGACAATGTAGTCACGTTCAGATTCGTTCACTTTGCCTTGCCGTCCTGCTTCCAGCGCCTGAAAACTCAATATGACGGTTCTCCTGACAGAGAAAAAAAAACCGTAGGCTGACAGACCACAGCTTGCCAGGACGGTTACACTACAATATGGAAGGCTACGAATGAACACTCCTAACCACCCCCCGCCCCCTCCTTTAAGTCACTGTCAGTGCCAGAAGCGCCGAGACTTTACTCAGTTCAAGCAGATTCACTCCAAATCATCCCAAGGGGAAAAAAAAAAGTGAATATAAACCGTCGTCAGTACACTATCGCATTCCCAGAGTTATGGTCCACTGCATTCCCGGAGAGCGTCAGCACTCGCCGTGTTGTAGTTTGCTTTCCATTCGATTAAATCCGCACATGCTTCTCAACCAGCAAGTACGAACAGACAAACTAGTTGCGCGCATGTCCGTTCTGCGCCGCTCCACACCTCCCCATTACGGCTCCCGACTTTCTACAAGCACCCTACTGCGCATGCCCTGACCTCTAAGGATGACTTGGACTAGATATTTTCTCAAGACGAGGAAGTAAAGAAATAGATGACATGTTGGCTCACGTTTAAGCGCGGAAAACTGCCGAGATAATTGAATCTTTGGAGCCAGAATGGCGAGCGAAGGTATTGCACTGCCACTTCGGGCTTGACTGAGTTTGGCACGGAGAGCAAGTGAGCTGAAAAGTTTCCTCTTACATTCCTGGTATATACATCGTTGTGTGATATCAACACACCTCAGTGTCTATCATTTATAATAAGATCTGCAAGTGCGTTTTGTATTATTTTTCTGCACAATTTTTTTTTTTTACCAGTGATCTAGGTTACCAGTAACCTATCCAACCAGCCATTCCTGGAAGCAAGAGTATCCACTGCAAACCTGGCTGAGTACCTTGCTTCAGGCTCCCACAACCCTTTGTGTTAAGAGACTCTCCTGTTTGTGTCCTTGTACACACTATTGTAAACAAGGATGGACTGGTGTGTTGTGCAGCTTTAACTGGCTCTCATTTTAACTCCCCAATGTGAACTTTATATATTAACGTACATGATACTTGTTTAATCTAGACCAATCTTCCATTAAATAACTGAAAGTGTTTATATTAGCCATTGCAATGTTTTTTGAAACACTGCTGTATAAAGTTAAAAAAAAATCCATATTTGTGAAATAAAGGTGAACCCCTTGCACACCTATACAGCTTAGGGTCTAATTAGAAGCAGGTGGTTTGGGCAACCCTGTACTATAAGTACAGTACAGTATATAATGGTAAAAAAATGGTTTGGTTTTCACAATACAGGTTAGTGACAATGTATCATGTCAGAATTAGAAATGATTTCAGAAGAAGACTAGTTGAAGTTTATCAGAGTGGAGTGGGTTACAAAACCAATCTTAAACATTAAGGGCTCCAACAATCCACAGTCTACAAATTGAAAGTGTTGAAGACCTTGGTGACCAGTTGTCCTGCCAAGATCTCCTCAAAAAAACCCAAATAACTCCAGAATAATATCTAAGGATCTGCAGGCTTCTCTTCTCTCTCTGTGTGTGGCTAACATCAGTATTCACGCCTCAACTATTGAAAAAAGACCAAAGAGGAATCACAGGAAAAGGAAGAAATCTTTCCTCTCTAAAAAGGGCATTGCCACTTGGTTCAAGTTCTCCAAAGAGGACATGGATGATCCTCAGGGCTATAGGAAGAATGTTCTCTGAACAGATGAGTGACAAGTTCAAGTTTTTAGATACATTGAGAAGCATATTCTTTCTCACAAAAGAACCTCATCCTAGTTGTTGTCAAGCATGGTGGTGGGAGTATCATGGCTTAGAGCTGCTTTACTACTTGAGGGCCTGGCTGGCTTGCCATTATTGATGGAACTATAAATTTGGCATTAGATGAGCTAATTCTGGAGGGGACTGTCATACCATCTATTCGTTAGCTGAAGCTGAGCCAGTAATGGGTCATGCAGTAAGACATTGATCCTGAACACACAAATTGCTCTACATCATAATGGCTGAAGAAGAAATACCACATCTTGGATCAGCCAAGACAATGTCCAGCCCTAAACCTCACTGAAATGATATGGTAGCACCTGAAGTGAGCTACTCATTCAAGGAAACCTTCAAATGTCACTAAGAGTCCTACAAGGAAGAATAAGACCATTTATAAAATCCAGTGGAAGAGACTAATAATCTGAGGAAATGACAAGCACATTAAAGCTCATGATGACATGAAGAATGCAGTGCAAGAGTATTTATTCATCAGACTGCTAGTGGAAAACCACACTCCAAGTTTAATATTGAAAAGTCTGACCTCTCCCATTAAGCTCTTTATCAACTAAACATACTTTATTACACCCATGTGAGAATGAGACACTCAAGCCTTCGCCAATTAACTGATTGGCGAAGTCTGGAGTAATTCAAGTCTGGAGTGTTTACTTACAAGTACTAGAGGCCTAAACTGAAATATCACATTTCATTTTAAAAGCTTTCTTATCCTCGCCTGTACTTTGTGCTGAGGCTACCAGTTACTGAATTTAAAGCTGGATAATTTTGTTCATTAAATAATTCAAATATATCTTATGTGTTTGTTTTACATTTAATCAGGTTATCGTCATCTTATATGAAGACCTTCATGAAATTTTAAGTACATTTTAGGATTGCGATGTACAGGCAGCATCGTGGTGCAGTACTTAGCATTGCTGCCTCACCGCTCCGGGGCCTAGGGTCCAATTCCTGGGGTGCTGTCTGTGTGGGGTTTGTATGTTCTCCCCATGTTTGTGAGGGTCTCCTCTGAGTGCTCCAGTTTACTCCCACAGTCCAAAGACATACAGGCAGGTTAAATGACTTCTGAGAGAATTGGCCTGGTGTGCATGTGTATGCGGGTGTGTGTGTATTTGTGTGTATCCTGCAATGGCCTATGGATGGAATAAGATCCAGCTCCCCCATGACCCTGAATTGGGTAAAATGGTTAGAAAATGCACGGGTGCCAATATACAACAACATAAACCAACCAAGGGGGCTCACAAGTGTTTTCTTGGCACTGTAGTTAATTATCGTTTTCTTACTCAGTGGGTCAGAGTACTTACAAGAGAAAATGATTTCATTCATCGATTTTTTAGCAGTCAAGTCAGAGTAAGGAAAACAGCGCTGAGAGAGCCATTAGAGAACTGATCTTAATATGGTGTTCTTTAAATCATATCTTGAAACAGGATGATTCCAAAACTGAACTATTCCTAAGAAATTACAGAGTTTACAATTTTAGGAAGGATTGATATACATATCATAAAATATGTTATTGTACAAGAGATAAAGAGAAATATAATTGTTATGGCATCAGAAGATATACAAAGACAACAGTTGAAAATGTTATTTTTCCCCAAAACTGGAAAATATAATTGAAAACATGTTTAACTATTCAAAATTAACTTTAGCAGGATGAAAACACCTATGAGTCCTGAAGGACTCTCATTTCTGGACATGCATTAGTCTAGAATATGGCTGTTATTTTCAGTTCTGTTGACTGAAATGTAGCAAATGACAGAAAATTAGCTCACGTTGGATTGCAAATCAATAATTTATTCGAGCTGATGCTCAACTCATTAGTACCAATATGTTGCATGGTGCCAATTATATTCTTTCTAATGTATCTTTTATTGCTGATGTGGGTATCCTACTACTAAAAAATACTACGTAATTTACACCACTAGGTGATGCTATTATATAAGCATTGTGGGTTCCTTTACCTTCCGAAACGCCGCGTACTGATGAGGTACAGTATATAGAGAATGAATAGGATTGTGAGACCGGTAGATGTCGTTTTGTGCTAAAACTTTAATAACATTGTAAGCGGTAAAATATAAAAGTGTAGTTCTTATTTACTAGCAATTCTAAACCATTGCGAATAGATTCTCGACTCTCATTTGCTCGAATTAAATACATTAGCAATATCTTCTCCTTCGTATTAAATCTCGTGATAGACCTACAAAAACAGCATTTTAGAAAATAAATCTAGGTGAAATTGAAACGGGTATTACTCCAAGCGAAGGCGATTTCGTGAAATGGAAAATCTGTTTAATGGGTGTATGAGAACTATTACTGTAAAGGGTGGCTTGACAGCCTTTTCATCGCAGTTCACTACAAGAAATACAACGCAATCTCTTATTTGCAGGACTGACACTACAGAGTTGATACCACAGACTAGCATCTCACCTGCACGAAAACTATTCTATATTAGCATATAGTTTTGCTCTAAGGAAACGTACATACTGATCGAAAATTGAGGTAAACTTGAGGCGTCTACATGTACAGTACAATAGACCCAGACTTACTGTGTACAAAGACAATGTTTACTAGCCTAGAGAGTGTCCCGAAAGGCCACGTTGACAGGATAACATACTGTAAATTACAATATTTAAGGTAGATTCTGCAACGATTGGTTATAATATCGCTTTACATAGGACCAGAGTATACTTGACCAAGGAGAAGACGTTAGTTACTAATTGTAACATTGTTGAGTAGAGAGGTTTTGCTACGTGCCTGTGGGCAGGTTGAAAGAGCTTCTGCCAAGCTGCAGGACAGAATTTGTCGGTCTTCTCTCCGTGCTGTATTTTCTAGCCTCAAGGACATCTCTTATATTAACAATGTATACACCCTCTTACAGACATATTTAATACATTGGTTACAAAAAAGACAGTATTCACATGTATTAGCACAATCTTCTCAAGTTTGTCTATTTACTACTTCAGATGCCAAATCCGCACATAGTTCACTTACGGGTACATGATTCGCTGGCAAACAGATTTTTTTTTTCCTTTTATATCGTCAGGCATAGTTTGTTCGGCCCTGTCCTTGGAGAAACAAGACAGCAGGGTTGTATGTCACTGTACATCAATCATATCTTGACAAGGAAGAATTGACTTGTAATATTCATTCTGTGAAATCTGATATTTAACACTCAACTAAAAACAATTGTTCAAGTAAAAAGCTGAAGACATTCTTGTTTCCTAATCAGCCGAGAGATTATTTTTATGTGCGGCATTACTCCACGGTGTTGTGGAAAGTTATATGTTACAGTTCAAAGTTACTGCAGGATCACTAGAGACATGAACTGTTCACATACAGTATTATTACATAGTGTACAGTACATCGCGAACTAAAACATTCTCTGCCCATTAGGTTAATTTTGAAAACGAATGCCCCTATTCCTTTTAAGTGACATTTTTTCAGTACTAGTAGGTTTTACAATTATCTGAGTAATACTGTACTATGCCTCCCAATGTTTCGGTGGGTTTTCTACACGTGCTCCAGGCTCCCGTAACGACAGTCCAACAAAAAAAAAAGTTAAGCAGTGCGTCAAACTGACCCAGTGTCCGTGTGCCCAGCTATGGACAGGTATGCTGTGGTCCTGTTAAAAGCCAGTATACACGTCACACAGCCACACCTCACTCATTATATATAGTGACGTGATAGTAGTGGATGTTTTTCTTTCTCTGCTATGAAGTGCTTGCCTGCCTCATGTGAAGAGGCAAGAAAATGAGGGAATCGTCACTGAGCCGTTGAACCGTAGAGGAGTTTCTTGGACAGGTATTTACTTATTTACGTGAAATATCTCATTTTATGGCAAGTAAACGTCAATTGGCTTTTTTGTGAAGTAATTAGAAGGATATAAACTGCCGTTGCGGGCGGTACGGAATATTTCAGATTTAGAATGTATTAGTAAAACTTTAAATTACTGAGACAAAACGCGTTTCTATGGTGAATATGCTTTGCAATGATGTGAAGTACTCTGTTGATACACATCTGCTTAATTTTTGCCTAAATATACTAGAAAAGTATCAAAATGTTAGAATGAGAAGAGAGTTGAATTGTTTTCTGTGTGTGCTTGTTTTAATCACATAAACGACGGGCGCAACGCATTTTTAACTGCAAAGGTGTTTTCTTTGCAGAACTGTGTATAATCCAATGTTTCTGTTGGAAAATCCAATGTTGTTTTCAGACGTGCCAACAGCCACGTCTCAAATTAACAGAAAAGGTTGGAACTTTACTTTTGAAACTGGTGTCGGGTTTGTTCGACGAAAGAGCATGTGTACAGCACAATCACTGTATTGCCGATAACCTACTTAAAATGGGGTACACACGTTTTTTTAATTAAGAAATGTAGGTCCAGTAGACACTAACTAGATTTGAAGAATCTAATAACACTATTTTTATGATTTCTAACTGGTGAACGGCGTCGTCGATAATATAAACTAAATCAACAGCGCATCACAGTTTGGATGTTTCAATGAAGGTCGGTATTATTAGTCAAGAGGAATGGTACCTTCATGTGTACTATGATGCATCTTCTGAATAGTCAGACTTACGTTACCTGAGGGGAAATTGATAAATGTGTCAGCCCTCAATCTAGGCAGGGACAGTTTTCAGAAACATAAGTGCAGTCGCTAAGGATTTCCCCCTTGCTACTTGTCAAGTGGGATTCTGCAGTTGTACATTTGGTGTTAAGGTTGGGAATTATTCAAGGAAATTGCATGTTGTGCAAAGGGGTCATCATTGTAAACGAGTTTTTCTTAGTTCACTTACCTGGAATAAAAAATATAGTCAGCGGACACTTTTTTGATCCGGATATATACCATCTGTTCAGTGTCTACAAACGTCATGATTTTTTGGTGAAACCGTACCTATTTTACCCATAGGTTTTGTCATTTTTTTTTTGTTGGAGTTTAATTGTGTTGCAAGTGTGAAAGGGGAACACTACGTTGTAATTTTGATGATGTCTATTTTAACTGCTCTTAGACGTAAAAAAAAACTCTGCAAATCGTTATCGACGGTTATGGCTTCAGTGAGTACCAAGATCTTCCTACTACCGCTACTACCTACAGTACTCTCTTCAATTCCTGCTTTCGGTACAGACATTGCCTGGTCAAAAGTTTTTTTTAAAAACAAATGGCAAAAGGAGGAATCTGTCCAATAGGCGTGGGGCTGGAGATGGTTTTAGGAATAGATTGCGAAGGCAAAGAAGTCCACATCTGCTCCCAGTAATTATTTGAACAAATGTCTGGTCTCTTAACAGTAAATTGGATTAAATATTTTGAAAGGATGACCGACAGCATCCTGGAAATCTACCGACTGTAGCCTGTGCGTCTCCTGTATGTCTGCAACATCTGGGCCATACATTTTAGTGTGTTGGAGCAGGTGTGTGTACTAAGGACTGTGAGATACTGTGTCAAGCAAGATGTGTCAGGCTATCTTGTTTGACACAGTGTGTAAACTAACATAATGATCATCTGTTTGGACAGATGATCATTATTTTAGTTTATGTGCCCGGACCGAATAACAAGGAGGCTGCTGAAAGGAATATTGCCAGCATTTACGGATGCGCTTTCACGACCATGACCAGCCTGGTTTCTGTTCCTGGGGATTGTACTACTCTTTCCCTTTCGGCGAATTTTCCTACCCTGGAGCAACATGTGTTTTTCTCCGCTCGTATGACGCGTATCTTGGATCAGTGTTACGGAAAGACTGAAGACGCATACAAGGCGGTGTGCACACCGACGTAAGAAATGGGTCATTCATCTCCTCCCTACATACAGGCAGCGTGAGAACTCTGTGCCCAGATATGGACAGTGGAGAATCAGGAGGAGCTTACAGTACAGTATGTACTATTTTGATACTGCGAACTGGCAGGTGTTGTTTGACTCGTACGGGGATCTATACGAGTTGACAGATTGTATAAATGCATGGCATACATTCTGTAAAAGCGCTGTCATTACTTCTAAAACTGTCAAAATATGTCCCTTAAAGTGTGCCTTGGGTGTCTTAAATGTGTTTAAATGTGCGGAAAGTCGCTTTTTTAAAGGGGGAAACCGCTGTTCTTAAAGGGAAGGACTAGGTGTTTAGGTAAAAACTGAGGCAGGCTAATAGGGATTTTAAAGTCACAGGTGCGAACAGGTTCTGTGCAGGCAATCTTAAACAAGGATCACAGGCAGAGGTAGGAAAACAGAATAGGACTTGTGCTGATAGCTCATCCTAATGATCTCAGTTACTTTTATGGAAGTTGTAACACTTGATTTTAGAGATGATCTGAGGGGATTTTCATAGGTTTGCCGATACAGGTTGCTAAGTGTCTCTCTCAGATTAAACCACACAAGGCGCCTGGCCAGATGGTTTGTGGGAAAAGGTGCCGAAGGTGTGTGCTAATCAATTAGGCAAGATCATACGCAGTTATTTCAGTCATTACGTGTATTGTTCCAAATGTGGAAAGTTCCAACTATTTATACCTGTACCTAAACGATCTAAGGGCAGAGTTCTAAGTGACTTTCGACTGTGGCAGTCACCCACCTATTGGCTAAGTGCATGAAGAGGCCTACCTGTAGACATATTTTCCTCTCAAATGCAGATCATCTGGATCCCTTGCAATTTGCTTATAAAGAAAGGAGAGGGACTGAAAATCCAACTTTACCTTGAGTTTATGTATGTATATGTATTGTTACATCTCAAGGACTATTATTTGTTTTTAATGTGTAATTATTTTATGTTTTCATTTCTTTTTGTAGTTTTGTTTGATGATGTACAAGGCAAACTTCCATTCTTTTGGATGGCCAATAAAATTATAAATACTGTACTTATGCCTCAAGCTCCTGAAAAACGCTTTTTTTGCTCTCCATATTATTAAAGACATTGGCGCAGCGTCTTAAAATATTATTGATAACAAATATCTGGCATAAAAGAAAAATGTTTACAATAGTGTTAAAACAAAATCTGACTTCATGTTGCACATAATTGAATTATGAAATTTAACAAAATCCTTATCACAAAAATTGTGGTTTTAAGAAAATTTTACATTATAAAAGTAATTTCAAATATGCTTCAATATATGAGGTTAAGCATCAGCAAGTCATAACAACATAAATACATCACTCACTGGTGGAGCCACTTTACTCACCATCTGTTATCTGTCTAGCACCAATGACAAGCCTCTTGCTTGAGGCCATCTATTGGGTACATGCAACATACGTGTAAGAAAACAGAAGCTGCTGCAACATTTTAAATTATAGTTCACATTTCAGTTTTTTTTTTTAAATCTGAGTCACAATGGTTCCTGGTCGTATCTACAGTAGATTGTATGGCTTCCCGCACTTCCCTTGCCTGGCCAAACAAAAGCGTGAACGCTGACAAAATGCTATCAAGAATCCGTCTTTTAGTAGTACGACGCTAGATCACTTCCCAGCCAGCAATCGCGTCGTACCTAATCGCATAGCTCTCAAGTCTTACGCATTGACGGTTTCACGCCTTGGTCTGAAAACAACTCACATATTTGCATCAAGCCTGGGGTGATTAAAAGAGGATGTAATGAACGTACAATTTGTTGTAGAGATTTCCGTTAATTTAACTCACAGTTTTCGACGGAATATCTCACGCATTATAGTTTAAGACCCTTGAGAGCTAATATTAGTAATCGACAAATACTGTGTCCCTTCATTGCTTTTGAAAGTTGGTGAGAAAGGTAAGAGTCAAAGCCACTTAATTTTTAAAATTAAGCGGCTTCGACTCTTAACAAGCCTTAACGAGCGCAAAGTAATTAACGGCGCCTCGGTGAAAAAACATTGATGGTTTAATACATATAGAAAATTGCAAACAGCAAAACGTTTCAAGCACAAAGCTCTTTCTCAGGCAGCATCATGGGAAGACTGTATCGTTAATGAATAAAACTAGATGTTGTGCCAGAACGGTCTTGTTACTTGTTACTGTACACAGACTAGTACAATAGGCTGTTAGCTATTTGGAGGTAAGGAAAACCGGGATTGGGAAACACTGGTGTACCACTTAACTGGGCAATTCCAAAGTATTGAGAAATTCACTATTTAGTCATTTCATAATTGTGGGTTTTCCACATCATCATCTTTCAAAAGTGAAAAATATGTTGCTGCTTAAGAGTTGGTTTAATTATAGACACAGTGAAGTGCAATAATAATGTTGCAGTCGCCTTTGCCCTGCCTGACGTTTGGCAGGCGGACAAGTTTTGGGCACAACTGAAGTGGCCAAGGCTCTGCAGAGGCTGAGGGCCCTCATCTAATCCTACCGAATGCCCGCGACTCCTCGCACACAGGCTGGAAACCACTACGTCCTGTTGGTCGTGGACCAGTTTCTGGCAGGAGGCCTGTGCGCTGCCGGACCAGAGAGCTCCCATGGCACTGAAACCATGTTGTGGGGAATGGTGTCTAGGTTTGGCCTATCTGAGGAGCTTCACAGCCACCAGAGGTGGGGTTGTGAATCCCACTTCTTGTAGGAGATCTTTCATGGAGATGAGGAAGACCAGACCAGAGTGATGGCTTGGTCGTGCAACCAGACCTTGGCCACTCGGCTTGCCACCTTGTCTGTATTCTGCAAAAAAGACCGGTACCACCAGCTCCCCTTGGATGTGCTGGCATACCAAAGAGCTGTGCACGGGTCCCCCCAGCTTGATTCAAGGGGCAGCACTTGACAGTAGTGGGTGCAGTAGAAGAGGTGATCTAAAGCAGTGCTTCTCAGTCCTGGTCCTGAAGTGTCCCCTGTGTCTACTGGTTCTAACTTGGCCCTTAGTCACCACAGCTGGTGATTGCTGCCACTAATTGATCTGCTTACACATTCAGGATTTCTTATCTGCATTTAGGCATTGAATAAATAAACAACCCAGTACAGTGGCTCTCAATCTGTTGGTCTGTCGTCTGTTGGTTTCACTCTAGTTCTCAATCAAAGGTACTTCTTGTTTTACGTGAGGCCTTTTTCAAAATGGACTTTTAGATCTTAAAAGACTGGATGAGATTTGTAAAAATCCTGTGCTGACTGGTGAGATTCAGGACTGTCCCCACTCAGATGTGCTAGCTAAAATCTAACAGACTGGTGTTAAACAGTACGAAAATCATTCCACCAAAGCTCATCACTTACTAAGTGCGGGTTAAGCAGAGATAAAGAGGATACAGCATAAAGATCTGTGTGATGAAGTTGTTGGAAATAATGCATTTTAGAGTTCAGAGGGAAATCGAAATCAGTGTGATGACTGAATCTCTTTGAAATATTGGGTTGAAGAACAGATTTTATTTCTTCCTTGTCAGCAACAGTTTTAATATAAAAATGGCAAAATACAATTAGGGGGGTTAGTTTTTCATTCACTCTTTGTCCCCCTACCACCTTCCAGCTGACCTCTTATGAGCTCCACTCTCCCCACTCAGTTGTTCTCAACTCCAGAATTCCACACTTCAGACACAAACAAAAGAGCTCCACACAGACATCCCAAAGTCCTACACCAGCAAGGCACCAATTAACACTGGTAATTAAGGGCTTAGCTGGAAGATAAACCAGCAGACACAGGGGTACTCCATGACCAGTTTTAGAAAATATCATGCACTGTGCAAATGTCCAGTAATTATATTTAATAGACATAGAAAAAAAAATCAATGTTTATTATAAACCTAAACATACAATAAAAATAAAGTTGTGCATTTCCAGTTGTAATGCAGAGGGAATTAGGAAGATTATGAAGATTATGAAGAACAATGTTCATACACTGGCTATCCACCCCATCATTCAATCCTTTCTATCTAGAAACCATCAGATACAATAAATCGGAATCAAAATCAAAAAAGGAATCGACTCTCGGAAACCTCCCAGCGATGAAGATTAAAAGGACCTTGGGTTTTATTTTCCTTGCGCACTGTTTCCACTGTTGATGACTTCCTTCACAACAGCACAAAGGGAACGAGCACTGGCAGCTCTGTTCTTAAACAAACTCGCTGTCGATCTGCCGCCTCCTGAACTGCTGCAAGCCCCACAGAGGCTCACAGAAGCACATCACTGGCAGTGATCAAAGGAGCAGCACCAAAGACACTTTGTGGTATGAGGGAAACTGAATAATAATAAAATAATAATAATTCCTTCCAGTGATTTTCCTTTATATTACTTGCAGTAATATAGTATTTTCCCATTCATGTACTGGACAGACTCACACTTGTTTAGCTTCAGTGTGTTGCTAGTTGTAAAATGACTAACTCCTTCCCACAATCATCTGATTAGTGACATGACCGTTTCCCAGACTCTGTGTGGGCATCTGAAATGGATGAGTTACTTGCAAGTGCCCACCCCTTACTCCTGCTATAAAACATGCAACCTTGCAAACTGTTCTCTTTAACTATACTGGTAGGCATTTCTTTTCATACAAGAATATGTACACTCAATTCAATGAAAAATGACCCCACCTTGTACACAGAACTAGTATAAGTGTCTTTGTTTAAATAAAAATGGCAGCCAAAGCTGTTAATGACCACCTACATAATCAGAATGTACTATTGTTCCCTTTGGATTATTATTAAGAATTTGTTTGCTTATTGAACAGGTGGACTTTATTCCCTGTGGGCATACTGAGAGAAATAGGCACAAAAAGGAACTTGGCTCTGCCGGATCAGAGCTCTTTTTGAATTTACTTTGCATGAAGATTAAGAGCTGTTTATCAACCAGTTTCAGAGAACACAACCAGTAAAAGCTTTTAACATGGCAATCGGCTTTGTAATTTTAAATATGTCATTTTTTTTTAAAGTTATGTAAAGGAGTTTGAATTAATCTATAACATACAGTACAGATATTGAACATTGCAGCTAGAGAGACTGTTGACCTTCTTGAACCTTTTAAACACCAGTGCTGAAATGGCATTTAAGCTCTAGTAGCTGGTTGTGAGAAATATATTTTTTTAATCTCATTATCACTCACAATTGGGCTTCAGCAGGGTCAGAGGATTTACTTCCAGTAGACTGTTCAATTGTGGAAACAACCATAACACTTAAAAAGCTTTTAGAAAAACCTCAACAGCAGAAAGCTTAAAAATGATTAGGCATATTTTAATCAGATTAATAATAAAGCTTTAATTTTTTCACTAACTTCTTTCTGACTAGATGTATCTGATATACAAAAATGTTCTGGTGGCCCATGGTTTAAGAGGTTTAAGATTTCTCTTAAAATCAGACTTTTACATCCCTTTTACATTCCGTTTATATTTCCTAATTATAGGTTTTGTAGCAGCGCATCTTCATGGGATGCTGTCACGATATTCACTCATGTGGTAAAAAAAAGTGCTGCTTTCAGGATGTTCAGTCAGTTCTTGTCATAAAGAATGCTTTCAGTGTTAAGTGCGCTTGTGGCGAGAGCTGCTTCAAATGTCATTTTCATCCAAATCATTGGCAGTAGATGATGTTTGTGTTTTGACTCAGCTAGAGAGCGAGTACTTCTGAAGAAAGCGGTCGAAGGCATCATAAATGGCTTGCCTAGAACAGAGAAAATGTGTTAAGTATTTTAAAACACATGACAGAAGTGGTCTATTTGAGCTAATCCCTTCTCTTTGTCTTCTGTTGCACAATAACATGACATTTAGTTTTTCAAGTGCTTCTGAGTTATCGGGTGTGAAAAGAACTGTACCTGGGTTAAATGCAGCATGCCAGTTACTTACAGTACATAAAGATCAGCGTCAGTTCAAAAGCATTTCTTCTCATACCAAAGATAAATAATTCAAATATAGCACATAGTTTCCTTATCTGTTTTTCCTTACACCATATCATTTGGGTGTTTTTGAACATTTCTTCAACAGAAAACCATGTACAGTATGTGCATTAGACAAGACAAGTCTTGCTATATCTTCACCAGAGTAACAGCTTGCACCAGAGTTAAGTCGTACATGACAAATGTGCCAAAGCACAGCACAACAAACACACACCTTACACAGGAATTTTACAGAATTCATGCTACAAGTAACAAACAAGATCATAAGGGACAGTACTGACATAAATTACATACATGGACAACACATCAAGTATAACTGTCAGTTACTAAAGAACAAACTATCATGGACATGCAGTTACTGGGTTCATAACGCAATGCTCCAAAACATACAAACATAATTTCTATAAAACTGAGTATTTTAAGAATTAAGCTTTAAAAGTGTATTTAACAGCACCTCATAAGTGCCAGGGTCTGTTTCATCAAAGTTAATTTTTTTATACTACCTACATGTAGGTGTCAATATTTGTTCATAAAACAGCACAAATTTACCCTGTTTAATAGATTCCAGGAACAATGATAAAATATCAATTAAAAATTCATTGTGCTTCTATGAAGTCATCTCCGATCCCCTTACTCAGACTTCAGAAACCTGCAGGTATCAATGGCCTAATAAGTTTGTTTGCACCTCACCAGTGGTATTTGATTGTGATCAACAACTCTTTTAAGACCCAAGATAAGCATAAAACTCTTTAATTTGAGCAAATAATACAGTAAGAAGATGGTAATAATACAGAGCTCCGGGTCGTTATTAGTCTGAAGCTCTGCATTATTACTGTATATACCGTAAAAGACTTTGAGGCCCTTGAGTAAAAGAGTTTTGTGATTTAAGGGGACTTTTCATTGCTTCTTGCTAATTAATATAAATGTCCTTTTATAGAGAACAATCTTTCAAATAAATATTTTTATTATTAACAACAAATTATTTTATATAGCACCTTTAAATGTGGCTTCTCAAAGCGCTTTACAGAATGACAACAACAATAAAAAAATACACAAGATATACACAATGAGAGGAGAGAGTAGACAATGGTACTGAATACAGAAGGAGCAGAATGGTAAAGAACAGCAGAACCAGTTAAGTAAAGGCTCTTCTAAAGAAGAATCTTTTGAGTCTGGATTTGAAGGAGTTTAGAAAAGGTGACTCTCTGATAACCTTGCGGCTAGAGTTCCAAAGCCTTGGGAATGCTCTGTCACCCATAGAGTATAGACGGGCTTGGGGGACAGATAGGAGCCCAGAATTAGAAGAGCGAAGGTTGCGAGGTGTGGAGTAGAGCGATAATATCTCAGACAGGTACTGAGGTGCTAAGCCAAGCATGAGGATTTTGAAGTCGACACGAAACTTGACAGGAAGCCAGTGCAAGGACTCCAGGATAGGAGTAATGTGATCACTTGCACTAGATCTGGTCAGGATTCTGGCTGCCGAATTGTGACATACTGGAGTTTGTTAAACATGGATTTAGAAACCCCAGCGAGTAGAGTGTTACAGTAATAAATTCAGGAGAAGACAAATGTGTTGAACAGCATTTCAGCCACAGTTAGTGATAACATAGAACATAACACAGAAGAAATGAAAATAAGACAACATCAGTAGGCCTGCACAGTCATCAAACCATGAAGCTTTTTTCCTCAGTACTGTATTTACCTAAACAGTCCTTGCTTGAAGAGGTAGGCACTGATGTGACCCCCGTTCAGGTAGCGCACCTCGCAGCCAGGCCAGATCTCCTGCAGGCTGCGCACTCCAGTTCTGGGAATGTAGGCGTCTTCCTTGGCCTGGACCACGATGATCAAACTGGGGTCTACAGGGACTGGCAGAGCATAGACACACCAACACACAAAACCTCAGTAACACACAGAGTGTGGAGAACCTGTAAAATAATGTCTTGTTATTTCATCCACTTGGGGCTGTGAAACTGTTATGATGTGGGGAGGAATTGCCAATAGCACTCCTCTGGTGGGCATTGAGGACAACCAATCTCCTCAGTGATACATTCAAGTTCTCGAACCAGCATTCATTTCTTCCTCTCCTGGAAGTCAACGTGGAAGTGTTGATTTTCCAACAGGATAATTCAAGTCCACACAGTTCTGAGATTAGAGTGGTACAACATCAAGAACACAATGTTGAGGTCTTGCTGTGGCCAGTGTTTTCACCTGTCCTGACCTCTAAAGAACATCAGTGGGACTAACTCATCAATGCCATAAACAGGAGACATTAGCAGGTGGCAGCTTCAGCGCAGGAGTGGTGGAACCAAAGTCTAAACCAGGGGTGTCAAACTCTTTATCCTGCAATGGGCCAGATCTGATTTAAAATGTACTTTTTTAGGTAGTTATTTAATATATTAATAGGAGCTATTACTTTCATTGTTTATTTTTGGAGGTATGAGTGCACTGCTCAAGACCTTACTCAAAAAGCCTAAAAATATGGGTATGTTTGAAGCATTTGCCTAGCGGCAGGTGGATTAAAATTCAGGTAAACACAGCTGATCAAAGGGGTTGCCTGATGGTTAACTCCAGTTAACTTCACTATAAATCATTAGAGGCACACATGTCAGCACAAATACATAGGCAAGAAAAACTTAAGACACGGAATGAAGACAAGGACAGAGCAAGAAGACAGAAAAGAAGGAACATGTCATTGCCCTTCTTTTTATGATCCTTCTTTCAGGGAATAAAGAAACAATTCACAACAGTCACATTCAGAACTAATTCCAGTTTCTCAACTTGAAAACAGAAACCACCTACTATGTCAATGAAGTCAGGACTGATTAAACTTTTCCAGCATCGTTGTGCTGCCTAAATTGGTGTTGTCTGTGTGTTTTCTTCTGGGACACATCATTAAGAGGCCACATAGGGTTTACACCCACTGGCAGAGATAAAACTCCAGCTGCGGACAGCACTGTTGCCTTTGTCATTAAATCTGCACATTATCAGTGCCTGTTTCCGCTTCCTCATATACTGTACTAGAGTAAGTGTCTTGCACGAACTATAACTCTCCCAAAATTTGGGAGACCCCCTCTGCTTTCTACTGAATGCTGTTAATCTAAGGACCAGTCTTTCAGCTACTCTGCAACTTCTGGATTACAGTATAGGAACATCAACATGTTTAGACAAGGCGGTATGCCAATCCCTCAATGAAAAAAAAGTATCAATACTGATTAATGTTTGAAATTAGTTTGCCAAGCTGAGTCATTGAAAAACATTAAACAAGTTTATAAGAACATTATATATAAGGAAAGGTCACCAAAGTAAGAAACCATTAACTGTGCACAATATTCTCCTACATAGTATGATCCTTGATCATGTGCTGTTGTACAGTCACTAGTCTGACACAGTGAAGTGGGCACTGTGGTAGTGATTTTCTCCTCATGCCTGGCCGGCGCAGCACTTACCTGAGAAGTTAGCGATGTGTGTGCATTCATCCATGACGCCCTTCATAAAGCACAGAGACTCGCGCTGAAGTGAGCACCGCCGCCTGTCTTCCTTGGTGATGGTCTTGGCACTGAGCATGTCCATGTGGGCGCTGCTGCTGCTCACCGCCGAAAGGGTCTGATCCAGGCAGCCCGTCCCCTCCCTTCCACCGGTCAGCCGCCCTTTCCCCGAGTTCCTCACACCGGTGTGGTGTGCCTCCAGCAGTACCTCTGCAGGAGTCTCCTGGAGGCCCAGGATGTCAGACGTGATGTCCAGGTCTCTGAGATTATCCAGACTGCTGGGAGCGTTCTTCACAAAGTCCTGGCCCATCTTAAAGGAATCCGTCTGAGTGAGAGAGTACAGGCAAAGTGGAAAAGACAGAACTCAGTACAGTACATTTCTACCCGAATGGCATTTATTACACTCCAGACGGCAGTAACAACCAGGACACTACTTTGCTGCACGAAAGCGTCACTTAATTTAGGCTCAATACTTTGAGATATACTGCATAGCTGCTCCTTCTACTAATACTAAGGCTTTTCAAGCTTGAGAATTCAGTAAATGTTCATTTTCAGAAAATTAGAATGACAAGAAAAATATAACTGGCGCTTTGTTTGCTGCTTAAATAAGCGATCAGAAAAGTAAACAAATTCAAATCTCAGAACGAAGTGGCAGCATTAAATCTTAAAGGTTGGAAACAACTGCTTTATAAACAAAAACAAACACACTGAATGATATAAGACCAGAGGACATTCCACCTAAATCACTTACACAAAACTGGTTTGACAGACTGAGAGCTGCAGGAAGCTCACTGCATTGCTTCAAATAAACATATAAAGCTCCCAGATTCAGATTTATTTTTGGGATAAGTTTGTAAACAATTCACTGCAGAGATACAGAAGCTTAAAAAGTAGAATTAAAACCTAAAGACTTTCATTTATGCATTCAAAATCTGTGAATTTCATTAATTTATTAATTAAAAGTATCATAAAACAATATTTTTTTCATATTCTTTGTTTATTGTCTGACTGGTTTAAAAACTGGATATTTGAAACTGATATAGAACCTCAAGGAACCTTAGAAAAACATGAAAGGATAATGACCATGTCATTATACTGAAGGTTTAATATTGATTTAACACCTCTTACTCATTAAACACACTTACTCCACAATATTCCAGCATTCTAGTGATTTCTTCTTCATAAACAGTGTGTGTGGCATATTGCTTTTCTAGTTCCCTCCAATTAACCGCCTTGCTCAAGACTCCCTTAAAAACAACAAAAACAATCTGTCATTTTCTATGGCTAAGCAATATTGAGAAGACAGTCTAAGGTTAACTTTTTTAAAAGGTACTATATTGTTAATATGATTAACATAAAGGAACCATAAAACACTAGATTGCGTTTCTAGGTTAAAGGTGTTGTCTTCACTGAGTTATGGTGGCATGGAACTAATAGATAATATTTGCAACATTTTTAACATTCAGACAAATGCTGAACAACATTACTGTGCTGGCTTTAAAAAATTAAGACCCTTGAAAAATGCTCACCATGCTATTAAAACAACATATTCCGACTGTAAATGAAAAATAATCTTACCGTTGTAAAAACGCTGGAAGCTGTGGACCAGGACAAACATGGAACCAGTGGTATTGGCTTTGGCCAGTTTGTCACCGCTAAAGATGCCATCTGTGACATTATCAAATATTGCAATTAATTAAAAATCTCCATGAACCTACTTAATTATACAGGGCTGTCCAAAGTTTAAGGAACAATCATACATGAATTTGTCCAGACGTCCGCTAAGAACAGGGGTCCCCAAATATGGTCCTGGAGTGACTCACTTCAGTAAGTCTCATCTGTTATCCTAAATCATCTGTTTAGGTTATAGATTAGGAACATTTATACATTATATGATCAATTAGCAAATAATTCATTCACTTAGATCCACTTAGATTCACAAGGGAACTCAGATCCATGAAAGCTGATGGTTGTACAAAACAATCTTTTAAATTATGTCATATACAGTGCCTTGCGAAAGTATTCGGCCCCCTTGAACTTTTCAACCTTTTGCCACATTTCAGGCTTCAAACATAAAGATATAAATTTTTTATTTTATG